GTCAACTAGTCTTCAACAAAGCAGGAAAGAATATCCAATGGAAAAAAAACAGTCTCTTCAACAAATGGTGTTGGGTAAACTGGACAGCAACATGCAGAAGAATGAAACTGGGCCACTTTCTTACACCATACACAAAAATAAATTCAAAATGGATAAAAGACCTAAATGTGAGGCAGGAAACCATCAAAATCCTAGAGGAGAACACAGGCAGAAACCTCTTTGACCTTGGCCATAGCAACTTCTTACTAGACATGTCACCAAAAGCAAGGGAAACAAAAGCAAAAATGAACTATTGGGACTTCATCAAGATAAAAAGCTTCTGCACAGTGAATGAAGCAATCAACAAAACTAAAAGGCAACCAACAGAAGGGGAGAAGATATTTGCAAACAAAATATCTAATAAAGGGTTAGCATACAAAATCCATAAAGAACTTACCAAACTCAACACCCAAAAAACAAATAACCCAGTTAAGAAATGGGCAGAAGACACGAATGGACAATTTTCCAAAGAAGACATCCAGATGACTAACAGACACATGAAAAGATGTTCAACATCACTTATCATCAGGGAAATACAAATCAAAACCATGATGAGATACCACCTCACACCTGCCAGAATGTCTAAAATTAACAACACAAGAAACAACAGATGTTGGTGAGGATGCAGAGAGAGGGGAACCCTCTTACACTGGTGGGGGGGCTACAAACTAGTGCAGCCACTCTGGAAAACAGTATAGAGATTCCTCAAAAAGTTAAAAATAGGGGTACCTGGGTGACTCAGTTGGTTAAGCATCTGCCTTCAGCTCAGGTCATGATCTTGGGGTCCTGGGATCGAGCCCCACGTCGGGCTCTCTGCTCAGCGGGGAGTCTGTTTCTCCCTCTCCCTCTGTGATATCTCTTGCTCTTGCTCTCTCCCAAATAAATAAAAATAAAATCTTAAAAAGAGTTATATGCAACTGATAAATTATTCAACACTACATCTGAAATAATATGTTGGCTAATTGAATCTAAATAAAAAATTTTTTAAAAAGTTAAAAATAGAACTACCCTACGATCTAGAAATTGTACTACTAGGTATTTACTGAAAGGATACAGATTCCAAGGGGTACATGCACCCCAATGTTCATAGTAGCATTATCAACAATAGTCCAACTATGGAAAGAGCCCAAATGTCCATTGACTGATGAATGGATAAAGAAGAAGTAGTGTGTGTATGTATATATACATATATATATACACACATATATATGTATATAGAGAAAAGATATACATGAATTATATACTTCATATATACATTATATATGTATATATGTCTATTATATACATTATATATGTGTATATATTATATATATACATGAATATTACTCAGCCATCAAAAAGAATTCACATTTGCAATGATGTGAATGGAGCTAGAGTGGATTATTCTAAGTGAAATAAGTCAGAGAAAGACAAATACCATATGATCTCACTCATATGTGGAATTTAAGAAAGAAAACAGATGAATACATGGTAAGGAGGAAAAGAAAAAAAGGAGAGAGGGAAACAAGCTATAAGAGACTCTTAACAGTAGAGAACAAACTGAGGGTTGATGGAGGGAAGTGAGTGGGGGATGGGCTAGATGGGTGATGGGTGTTAAAGAGAGCACTTGATATGATGAGCACTGGGTATGTAAGTGATGAATCACTGAATTCTACTCCAGAAACCAATATTGCACTGTATGTTAACTAAAATTTAAATAAAAAATAAAACAGAACCAGCAATATTTATACACTTGGAGAAGTATTCCTCAAAGAAGGTGTCCTGAAACACTTTATCTGGCTACAAGGATGGCTTTGCAAAGAAACTTCTTTCTTGGATAAACTTGGACATGGCTCTTTCACCAGATACTCATTGCAGACCTTGGCCTTTGTGACTATCTCAATGCAACACTGTGGGATGGCTAAATCTGTCCAACTCTGGGGTTTATTAATAGGAAATGCTTTGCCTGCAGATTCTAAGCCCTTTCTCTAATATAACTTTTATAAGAAAGTTGATATATTGTTCTCCTTATTCTTTTTTCATATTTTTAGTTGGTTTAGAGTTCAGATATGGAGCAGGGATGTATGGTGGATGGGACCCTAAAAGCCCAAGCATTTTGGAGCACGATCATAGGAACGTCTGAGAGCCAGCAAGACACAGAAAGGGGAGAAGAGCAGGGGGTCAACTGTGAGACCCACCCCTGAGGGTAGAGCAGAACTTTGCTCCATAAGGGCAACTTACCACCAGGGGTTTGAAGGGGGAAGAGCTGGTATATAGAGAGGCTAGAAGTATTTTGGTTATGTATGGATGCCCCTCCATATGAAAGAAGTTATCAGGAATGAATGATCAGAATTCTCCAGTACAAAGCAATGTATTGTTCAATTGACTAAGTCTGCCTGCTAAATTACTATAATATTCTAAGCTGGCTTCCTTGAAATAATTTCCAAATTGCTTAAATTACACATTTTGTGTATGTATCTGGTCATTCAGTCACATGATTATAGACAATCTTTTAGTTTTCTGCCACAGATGGTTAACTGCTTAGCATGGCGAGTAACTTTACATGTTCACCCTCCCAGGGCTAGCTCATCTCCAAGAACCCCAAGATACCTCCCTAGGGTGTGTGTGCTGATACTACTCCCCTACTGTGTCTTTAAAGCAAACTCTACATCAAAAACAAATGATGTACTATATGCTGGCTAATTGAACATAATAATAAAAATAATAATAATTAAAAAAAAAAAACCCTGCTAAATAAAGTCTCAACAACTCAAAAGAAAGAAAAAAAAGCAAACAAAATTCCTCACGACAGGGACATTCTTTGTTCCACCAACTTGGGCAGAGTTCCGACAACTGCCTATTTCAGTCTAGAGCCTCTAATTCCTATGCTTTGTCCTGTGGTGGCCCGAAGAGCGAAGGTGTTTTACGTTCAGGGAGATTCCCGGGGGTGGGTGAGTCTTGCGGTGGCATTTCCGGAGTGGAGAAGCCTGCGCTTTGCAGTTGCCATAGAAACCTGACGTCATGCGGCGACCGTGACGAGTTTTTCATGGAGACAGACTTGCCCTCTCAATGAGAGCAGGTACCGCCCTCAGATGTTTGGGACCCAGCTGAGGGTGTGGGGTCCTCGCCGTGGGGGCTGAACCGCCCGGGAGTGTGAGGAGACAAAGGAATCCAGGTCCAACTCTTTTCCGCTTTGGGGCTCGTTGCCCCGGCTGTTTCATAGGTAAAGCCCCTGGGGTCCTGCCCAGCTCCAGTGAATGTGGGTATTGCTCCAGGGGTGTCCTGGAGCTGCTTTCCTCAAAAGGCAGGGGCTAGGGAGGGAAGACAGGTAAAATGATTCTGTGCCCCAGCTTCCCAGTCTGTACAATGGAGATGAGAATACTTCATCCACAGGATCGCTGAGAACCTTCAGCGATACAACTGAGCAAGCCCAGAGCCCTGTGGTTCCTGGGGGGTCATGAATGCCTGTATGAATTCAGGCCATTTCTCACTCCTTTTCAATTTTATTGTTAGGAGATAGACAAGCAAAGGAGGAGAAAAGGGCCCTCGTGAGAAGCCCATTAAAACATGTGGTTGTTACGACAACCACCCAGTTGTATCAGTGTCATTGTCAGTAACCTAGTGCCTAGCATGGTACGGGGGCACGTAGTTACACCAGTAAAGCATAGTGATAGTTGGATCTGTCTCTTCCTGTGCAGCTCTTCTTACCAGTGGCCCAGCTCCAATCAGGTGCCTGAAGGAGGCAGGTTCTGAGGACATGAGTCCTGATGGCTGCTGAAGCTTCTACTCGAGATTCAAGGGCAGCAGTCCTCAGGAGACCCCAACACTTCACATTCCTGGTGCAATATGACGCCTGGATCAAGCGAGTGCATAGATCTGAACAAAAGCATGTTGTGGAATAGCTCCTGTGAGGTTCACAAACTAGCCTAGAAGTAGAGAAGCTACTTTGATCTGATCATGAGAGAAGAGGTTTAGCACGTGGAATGTCATTTCTTCAGCAGCCACATGGTTTGTAGTAGCCCTTGAGGCCCATCTTGGAGAAGTCTTTTGTCTGAAAGCACTGAATTGTCCAGCTTGAGGAAGGAATGTGATCTTTAACATGCATTTGGAGTAAATATACCTAAGTTGTTCTCCCTGGGTAAATATTCAGTGATTCTCATGTTTCTCTCAGATGGGTGTTGAAAAATGCATTTGATTAGAAAGTCTTCCTAGCGATTTGAGAATGTAATATAGATTGAGAATGTAATATAGTTCCCTGGCTGCTACATTTTTATTCATTTTATAATGAAATACTTAAGAAGCCAGAAATTTTCCAAATATTAGTTAAGCATGTCAGTTATAAGAATTTATATATTTTTTAAATACTTCAGAGTGTTTTATTATTATGTATTTATTATATCCAGCCATATCTGCTATAATAACCAAGTATTCTTAAATATGGTTATGTTTACTTTCCTGGTATATAACAGTTTCAGTTCCTTATTACTTGGCCTCCACGCCCCCCCACCCGCCCCACTATGTATACCCAACAAGCACTGATCTTCTCTTACTATAGATTAGTTTTCATGTCCTAGAATTTTATTTAAATGGAAGCATAAAGGTTTTTTTTTTGGCATTTGGTTTTGGCCTGGCTTCTTTCATTGAGCCTATTTGTTTAGATTTACCCATTTTTTTTGTATATATAAATAGTTCATTCTTTTTTAATTGATGAGTAGAATCCTATTATACAGATATACTACAACTTGCTTGAAATTTGTTGCTTTAAAAAAAATTAAAGCTCCTATGAACATTTTGTATACATTTTTACATGGATATGAGCTTTCTTTCTCTAGTATTTCCCCCAGGGTAAATACTTAAGAGTGCAATGGCTGGGTCACATGGTAGATTTAAGATTAACATTGTTAAGAAACTACCAAACTGGTTGTACCATTTTTTCTTTGCCACCAGCATTGTATGTGAATTGCATCCTCCACAACCCTGCCAATGCTTGGTATGGTCAATCTTTTTAATTATAGCCGTTCTCATGGGGATGTAGTGGTATCAAATTATAGTTTTAATTTACAATTCCCTTATGATGTTGAGCATATTTTTATGTGCTTATTTGCTATTTCTATATGTTTGGTGAGGTGTTTATTCATTTGGTGAAGTGTCTACATGTTTGGTGAAGTGTCTATTCTCTATTTATTGTAGTGTATTTTTTTTCTAATTGACTTTCTATATAGATTTTTTATATTCTAGATACAGGTACTTTGTCAGATATGTAATTTGCAAGTATTTTCTCCCACTTAGTGCCTCATTTTTTCATTCTCTTCACAGTGTCTTAAGAAGAGCATTTTTTAACTTGGAGGAAGTCCAATTTATGTATTAGTTCACTTATAGATTGTAGTTTTGGTATCTCTTCTATGAAACCTTCACCTAACTCAAGATCACAAGGACTCTTTCCTATGTTTCTTCTAGAAGACTGACAACTTTAGGATATATATTTAGGTCTGTGATCCATTTTGAGTGGACTTTTATATGTAGTGTGATATATGGGTCACAATTGATATTTGTGTATATGATATCCACTTGTTTCAGCACCATTTGTTGATAAGACTCCCATTTCTCCACTGAATTGCTTTTGCCCCTTTTCCAAAAATCAGTTGTCCATATGTGTGTGGGTCTATTTCTGGACTCTATTCTTTTCAGTCTACTTGTCTACCTTGATTCCAATACCACACTGTCTTGATTACGGTAGGTTTCTGAGTCTTAAAATCCGTAAGTGTTCATCCTCCAATTTGATTCTTTTTCGGAGTTGTTTTTCATGGCCTAGATCCTCTGCGTTTCCATATAAACTTCAGAATTGGCCTGCCAATTTCTTTAAAAATATTTGCTAGGATTTTTATTGGATTGCATTGAATATGTGGATCTATATTTAGGGAGAAGTGACACTGAAATAATCCTGAATCTTCCAACCCACAAAGACACTTGTCTCTCCATTTATTTAGGTCTTCTTTAATTTTTCTGAGCAATGTTTTGAAGTGTTTAGTGAACAGGCTTTGCACATCTGTGGACAGATGATCTGTAAGTATTTCATACTTTTTGATGTTATTGTAAAAGGCATTGTTTTGTAAATATAATTCCCAAGTATTATATTTTCACCAAACTGTCAGCAGCCAAATGTTTAATAATAGCTGTTGCCAAATGTTTTTTGTTGAAAGCACAGACTACTCTAAGATGAAAAAGCTACCTGATGGATAACAAGCATTTGACTGTGTTTCTATGTCAGCTTTTTAACATTACTGGCAATGTACTGAAACTAGGGAGAAAAATGTCACAGAGAAAATTCTACAGGTCATCTCCAGAAAAATCAGTCACTAAAAGAAAATAGTTATAGTAGCGTTCAACTTTATATGTGTGGTTAGAATTGAACCAGTTGAATAGTGGGATTTTCCTTTTTTCCTTAGAATTGATGAATTCTGCGTTCTTGAGTGGTGAGACAGAGGAAGGAGAGACCATGTACATATATAAGTATGTATGTTTGTATGTATGTGTATATTGTGGAAGCTGCCAGGAATCTTTATTGTGAGGAATACTTCAGGTTAATTACTTTACTGTGGTCATGTCAGTCGTGTTCACTTCCTAACACATAATAGGAAGCAAATCACAGTGGTTGTTTTTTTCCACCTTCATTTGGCCAGCCTGGTTACCATGGCGACTCAGTGACTGCTGTGGTATCTGGTGGAGATTGAGCATTGTTTTGTAATTCTAGCCTGAATCCCTTACTAGGATCATGGTTGTCAAGTGTTGCTTTTCTTATTTCCTCATTCCTTCCAGGTTTATTAATTGAAATTTGGCTGGAGGTAGGGCTTTCTCTTCTCCCTGTTTTTTTTTTTTTTTTTAATTTATATCAGTATGACTCATAGATTCCTATTTTGCAAAAAGAGTTACCATCTGATGCTATAATTATTTTTTTTATGCTCAAATGTCTCAGAATTGGCCAATGGAAGCCCCTTCAAGTTGACTTGTGTCTCTTCGACACTTTCTTAGAATTTTTTCTTTCTTTTTTTTTTTTAAAGATTTTATTTATTTATTTGACAGAGAGAGAGGGAGAGAGAAAGTGAGTACAAGCAGGGAGAGCGGCAGGCAGAGGGAGAAGCAGACTCTCTGCTGAGCAGGGAGCCTGATGTGGGACTCGATCATGACTTGAGCCAAAGGCAGACGCTTAACTGACTGAGCCACCCAGGAGCCCCTAGAATTCTTTCAACATTTACTTTGTTCCCTGAGGCTATCTTTTAATCTGTAGAAAGAAAATTATGATGCCCAACTCAGCATCACTTTGAGGAACTGAAGAGAAAATAACAACCTACAGCATGTGGCGTCTAGTAGGTCCTCGGTGAATGCTATTTCTCCATTCCAATTTTGCCTCCTTCATTCTGTCAAGGCAGTGTTTCTGACATGAACATCATAGCATGAGTACCGGAGACAATACTTGGACATGGAGCAGCAAGCAGGGATGAGCACACATTTCCATGATGTGAGAGCTTCATTGTCACTGCTGTGTACGGGAGGAGGCTGTGGGATGGAGCTGGGGAAGAGGCACAGCATCATTGGACAGCTTCCAGTGACCTGAGTGGGGACAGGCAAGCACATGCTCACCCATTGCCCCTGTGTTTCATGTGCTCTCCCTTTCTCTCACTTTATTCTTTATTCCATGTGCTGTCTGATCCCCTGACTCTCCTGGCTAATGGAGCAGCAGACAAGGCTGTGGACTCTGAGCCCCTGAAATAGGAGCCAATAGAGAAGAACAAAGTGTGATGTTGAGTGTGCTAGACTGGGTCCTAGAACAAGAGTGAAGAGATTAAGATCCTATCATTGGGACCATTTAGGTAAGTTACTACCCTTCCTTCAATGTCTTCTATACAACAAGATAACAATACCCAATTCTCCCAATCACCTGGGAATATTGCATGTTGTAAGTGTGATTCCATGGGGGGAAGCAATCTGTGGTCATAGGTGGGAGGGAAGGACCAGTGTACTTTTGAGTAATTATATTAACAGAGACATCCCAGATACCACTGAACTCTGGTAGTCATGAGATTAATGGTACACAAATGTCAGATGCTTAGGTCAGGATTTCTCCAACTATAGTCCTCAGAGTTCATCAAAAACAGGAAGGTAGAATGGGAGGGGTTTACATTTTGAATAATATCTCCAGTTGTTTCTGGTACTCATCTAAGTTTAAAAAGTCCTGCTGTGAATTTGCAGCAAACTCTTCTTATAATTTTTAATCCTTTGATGTCTAATTTCCTTGTCAGCTTCTTCTGAAACTCAGCTTTAAATATCTGTGTCTGCTTCTGTGTGTCAAATAGGTAACAATTCCTTCATGTAAGTAATATTTATTCAGAGATTTACATATGAAACACAGAACTAGTCACTAGGACACAGCACAGAACAAGATAGGCAGGGTCCCTGGCAATAAACAGGTAAACAAATCAATAAGCAGGACAATTTCATATGGGAATGAGTGCTTTAAAGAAAATAAATGAATCCATTTAATAGGAAATGATGGGGACAGGGATTATTATGGATGGGTTATCCGTGAAGTTCTTTCTCAGGAAGTGACATGAGTTGAGTCCTAAACAGCAAAAGGAAACCAGGCCTGGGCTGGCCCTTTTGTTTGTGATGTGCATGCCACAAGTTGTTCCAGGAGCAGATGATGAGCTTGAGTGGCAAGAGCTTGGCAGACAAAGTGCTGATGGTCAGAGATGAGGTCAAAGGGCAGACAGGAGCCACATCACTTGGGCCATGTAAGGAAATTAGAGTCATTCTAACGGTGGAGGGTTACAGTATGGGAATTACATGATCTGATTCATGTGCTCACAAGGTGACTCGGGCTGCTGTGATGAGAATGGACTAGACAGTGACAAGATGGCTGTGGGGATAACCATTAGGAGAATCTTGCAGTAGTCTAGGGGAGGGATGAGGGTGGATTGGCCCAGTGCTGCCACAGTGTGCAAAGGACAGGGGTGGTCTTGGATAGGACATGTTGGCAACAGGACAGGTGGGACCTGCAGTGACTGTGGGTGGGGGTATGTGATGATAAGGCAGAATCAAGGATGAGCCCTTGACTTTTTGTTCAGCCAAGTGCAGAAATGGTGGTGCTATTTCCTGACATCAGTTGTTCCAAGCACTTTTGAGATGTTCTCATGATAATTAGTTAGGTATCCAACAGTGGTTATGGTGAAAGTGATTTACAAGATGCAGCATTTGATGAGTAGGATTCAGTGGTAAAAACTATTATGCTTTATTAAACACACATACAAACTATAAAACTATACAAATCTCATATTGTATTTGTTTAAAGTAGCTAACATTTTTGAGCTCTTATTGTGTACCTAGCAGTGTTCTAAGTACTTTTGTGTATTAACTCAATTCACAAAACAACCCATGACGTAGGGGTGATTGTGTTCTCCATTTTATAGAAGAGGAAACTGAAGCACAGGTTCTTTCAATCTCCTAAGATCATAGAGATCCAGGTATCCTGACGTCTTTGCAGTAGAATTTTTTAAATAATAGGATTCTGGACTATTTATCCTTGTAAAGACCAAACACAAAGCAATATTTATTTAAAAATGTGTCTTCTACAGTACTGCATAATCCCAATTTTATACATGAGACAACTGAGTGACTGTAAGGTGAAGTAAAAGTATTCAGACTCACACAGAACTAGGATTTGGACGTGGTCTGTCTCCAGAAGCCACATTCCTAACCAGTACACTTAGAAGAAGAAAAAGACATTTGGGGGCGCCTGGGTGGCTCAGTTGGTTAAGCGACTGCCTTCGGCTCAGGTCATGATCCTGGAGTCCCGGGATCGAGTCCCGCATCGGGCTCCCTGCTCGGCGGGGAGCCTGCTTCTCCCTCTGCCTCTCTCTCTCTCTCTGTTTCTTATGAATAAATAAATAAAATCTTTAAAAAAAAAAAGAAAAAGACATTTGTTGCACTACATCAGCCTATGATGGGTGATGTTAGGTCAGGGCCATCTGTATCTCTTTGGGTGGAAACTATGCTTCAGTAGGCATTTGCATTGCACCAGATGGTATTTATTTAAGAAAAACAAAAAGGTAATAATTATAGAAACAAAAGGGTGTCATAGATGAACAAAGCTAGACCCTGGTTAAAGTGGTAAGGACAGATTTTAATCAGTAATATACTTTTGTAACAGGGAAGAGTTGAATGTGAACTCATCACCAATTTGTACAGAGGTGACTGAGCATTTTAAAGGGAGTATAAGGGAATAGGGAGCGTAGTAAGTAGGGGCTCAGTAGAGTCAAGGAAATGAAAAATTACAAAAATAAGGAAGTGGGTTTTGCCCACCTGAGTATGCTAACTGGCCTTTATTCAGGTTAGATTTCTACTCTCCCACAGATGCTGGAGGCAGGGGCCCTATCTTCAGGTGTTGGCTGGGACAAATAGTAAATTGTTCTGGCAGCCTTGAGTTTTCTCAGGCAATCACTTTAAGAGGATTTAGGGTCATCTTAGGAATGTAGCTTTGAGCTGTTAGAAACTAACAAACTGAGGGTTGCTGGAGTGGAGGGGGGTGGGAAGGATGGGGTGGCTGGGTGATGGACATTGGGGAGGGTATGTGCTATGGTGAATTATGTAATCACAGACCTGTACCCCTGAAACAAATAATACATAATATGTTAATAAAGAAAAAAAACTATGGTAGTGTTTAGTTCAAGACTTAACTGGCCAGGGTTGAGGTGTAGTCAAGAAAAGGGCTAAGAGGAGTCTGTCTAGAGTTTGGCCCAGGAGAAAATCTTTATCAAGGGTAATAATTATATAAAGAGGAATAATCACGATAGTTACTATGCATTAGACAAATTGGCTGTTAAAATAATTCCTTGGACTTTCATGGTAAATTTTTTTTCCCCCTCTTATGAGCTCCAAGTGCTTTTCAGATGGGAATCACATTGCTCTGTGCTCTAGGCTTTGTTGGATGGAGGGCAGGGCTGATTTGACCCCTTTTGATAGGTGAAGCTAGAGGAGGTGTGGTGACTTACCCAAGGTCACCTAGAGTTAGTAGGTTAGGTTGGCCTATGGGGCCAAGTTTGTCTCCTGTCTGGTACTCAGTTTTCTGTACATCAGACATAGCTCTGTCCTTGTTCCTATGTGCAGTGAATCACTCTAAGGGCTCAAAGGATACGTGCTTCTTTAAAGTTAACCTGTGAGTAAAAAAATAAAAGTAAAAAGTAAAAAATTAAGTTAACCTGCAAGTAATATACAAGGACACTTAGTCTCTTCAAATAACAAGAAATAGGGTATTGATTATCCTCTCCTTCCCTAATCTCTATTGGGAGATTAGAAGAAAAATTCCTGGAATCTCGCATGCAGCGTGTACTCTTTTGTGACTGGCATCTTTCAGTCAACATAATGTGTATTTGCATTATCATTGTCCATAGTTGTAAATTGTTCATTCTCATTGAGGTATAGTAAGAGGTACATTATGTGGATATTTCATAATGTATCTATCTGTTTGGAGAATTTACATATTTTTACATTTTTGATTTATTTTGAGTAATGGTACTATGAATGCTCTTTTATGTATTTTTTGATAGACATATATATTTTCATTTCTCTTGGACATATACTAAAGAAAGGCATTTCTAAGTCATAGAGTGTGCTTATGTTGAGATCAGTAGACACTGCCAAGCAGTTTTTCAAGTGGTTGTTCCAATCTGTGTTCCTACCGACAGTATGTTGTGAGTTCTACTTTTTCCAAATTCTTGACAACACTTGGTATTTTCCATCTTTTTCATTTTTGTTGTTCTGGTGGGCATGTAGTGGTATGTCACTGTGGCTTTAACTTCAATTTCTCTGTTATAAATTTTCTTTAACTCTGTCTGAAGTGTTTAGTTTCTTTTAATCTAAAGAAGGTCCATTTTTTAACCTTCTGATTTATTTGCTGAAAAAACTAGATCTTTTTTCCTGTGGAATTTAAATTTGGGGTTTTGCTAATTATATCCTTATTATATAATTTATTATGTTCCTCCAGCCCTTCTATTGTCTTTAAATTGATAATTAGGTTTAGAGGCTTATTTAGATTCAGGTTTTTTGGCACGAGTATCTTAGATGTGGTGTTGTTTAGTTCTATAGTATTACACCATGAAGCTCATTTTGTCTAGTTGTCTCCTGTTGTGACATTAAGATTCATCACTGAGTTCTGAGTTAGCCTGATCCATTGATTACAAAATTTCCCATGTGCTTTTCATCTTATGTTTTATGCAATCTCTGAAGATTGTTGCCTGGGTCTACATTTCATTAAAGGCTGCAAAAAAGTGATATTCTAATTCTGATTTTGCCTGCATTCATTAGCTAAAATTCTTTTATTAAAGAAACTTAACCTCATCAACTTTTAGGTTGTGCTAAACTTGGTTTGCATAGGAAGGGAAGGATGAATGTGTAATTCTTTCACAGTATTTCTACTTTTCAAAATAATGATTTGTTTTACTAAAATCCTCCAAAGGTGAACAGTGAGTTTGTTTTATTTTGTTTTGCTTTTTGTTAGAGTGTCATCATGAACTCAAAGATCTTTATATTTGATGTTTTAATCCATTGTGGTCATTAATCATTTTGATGTTCAAAATGTTTTGTGTTTGGCCAGTGAAGTTCCTTCAGATTGGCTTCTGAGTCTTTTTAATATGTTTTCTGGCAGGATAGTTTGATCCATAATTCATGATAGAATTCCTACCCCAGACCTGGAATCAGCCATTTCTCTAAGGAAGCCTGGTTCCCTTGAGTGGGACGTGATTTTAGAGGATTCAGTCAGGGTACTAGAGGTGCTCATTGCTACTTGGTTAGCCATTGTTTCTTGACCTTTTCAATG